ACACAAACTAGGCGCGATGATTCAGTACTATTTATGTGTAAAAGATTATAAATATTTTCAAGTATGAAATGTAAGTTACTATGAATGAATTCTAGGTAAATGAAAAATGGGCAATAGTTTATTGGTATTTAATTGTAAATTTTTCTTTTTTGTAAGGTTTGTCATTTTAATTTATTTTTATATATGTTATTTTTATAACAATATAATTATTGATCTTTCATAATTAACGCAATCTCGTTGCACAAAGAATTGAAAGAGAGAGTATTGAAATGAAGAGATGGAGTTAGATGTGAGAGGATAAATTAAATCGTTTGCGTGGCATATACTTGGTGTTAGTCTATTGGTGATTTAGTAAACTAATCTACCTAAGATTGCTTCCGTGCGCAGCGATTGCAGAATTGCTAGCGTGAATGAAACGTTTTGGTATGCAGGAAGGACTACGGTTCAATGCCCTGGAGGTGAGTAAAAGGCTTCCTACGTGGAGTCAGTCATTGACTTTTTGAATTAAAGCCATCTTATCGGCTGATGAAAAATCAGAGAACTGCCTTCATATCTTCTGGGTGGACCGCTAAGTCGGCGCGCCAAGAAGCGCTTCCAAGCTTGGATTTTGGAGTCCAATTGCTGAAAAAAAGTCAAAAATTATGGTTAATTAAAACTTTAAAATTTGTATATTAGAAAATCTGAGGATCAGAACCGGTCAATGATTGTTGGAAGAATTTTCAAAAAGATAAAAAAATATGTTATAATTTTGCTTGTAAAAATAGATGAAAAGATAATAACAATCTCAAGACTTTTCTTCTTTCTTTAGTTTTCTTGTCTTAGAATGTTATTATCTTCCGTGAATAATGTGAAATTCATAAATATTTTTTTTTCAATAGTAGTTTAAAAATTAAAAAAAATATAAAAATATTATTGTATGTGTAAGATATTATTTAAAATAATGATAAATCATAATTCTTGAAATAAAATTAATTTTAAAGTGTGTATGGGATAAGATTCTGTAAAAATAAAGGTTAAATTTTAAGAAAATGGAAAGAATTTCTAAGCCTTAAAAATTCTTTCACAAGTGAGTAAGCTTTGGAATAAAACAAAAGAAAAAAATTTAGAAAAAAAAGGAATAGAATAAAATAAAGTTGTTTATTTATTATTTTTGGATGGGACCGAAAGTTATTAAGTTAGTAAAATTTTAAAGAAATAAATATTAATATGAAGGAGGTCGAATTCTTCGGTGATTCTTTCTAGACAAAAACAAAAAAAAAAAAAAAAAAAAAAAAAAAAAAAAAAGAAGCGAAGACCAAAGTCGCATTCTAACTTTAAGTTTCTCAATTCACATAATGAACAGTAAAAAGGGTGAGCTAAGAAGCATACCACCAAACACCTGACATCAATCTCTCCTTCTGCTCTCTTTTGCTTAACCCCAAACCAAAAACAAAGAAAAAAACAAAACAAAAACAAACCGCCCTCTTTAAACCTCTCTCTTTCTTTGCTTTCTTTCTCTATCCGTCAAATAAACTATCATCATAATCCAATATCTCTTCTTTTTGATCTCAATCTCTGTCTCAAAGGTAATACTTCAATCGAGATCATTTTGTCTTTATTATTGTAATCTTTATTTGATTCTGGTGGTTTTTATCGTGCTTATTGATGCCTTTTGCCAGGTGGTTTTTGCGTTTTTGTTTTTCTATGAATTGGGTTTGGAATTTGGTAAATGAGGTCATTGTTTCATTGTGCTCGTTTGGTTTTTTGGGTGTTTTTTGGGCCTAATAATTATTATTGGTTTCTGGCTTTCTTTAAGCTTCTTATCTAAGTAAACTGGGTTCAGTTTGTGTTGGCTTTGATTTTTGTATTATGGTATTCTCACTTTTCATTCGGTGGGTTTAGAGAATCAAGTCTTTAACTAAAATTCTCTTTCTCATTCGCTGTTTGATTCATTTGATTCATTTATATAATATTATTGATAAGTCTAATACTGAAATATCTTTGAATTTGATTTTGGAAGGTTAATTCTGAGAATTGCTTGTGTTGTATTTTTTTTTCGGATATACAAGAGGTAAGCTAGCTCAAGTAAGGAACCACTAATAATTATGGCAAATAATGCGGCAGCATGTGCCGGAGAGGTATAACAAGTGACATGATTGATTGCCGACTGGCATCAACATTGAGCTTTTGTGAATATGCATAACATGGCTTGGGTATGATTACCATTCTCAACACTTTTAATGCTTATGATAATTGTTTTTCAACCTTTTTTTTTTTCCTTGTGTTTGCTTTAGCTTCGTTATGTAAATATGTAATATGATGAAACGTTTGGTATGGAGTCAAGTGGAGAAGTTGGTCTTGTTTAATTCTATTAACTAGAACAAGTGGATGTACTGGTTTTGAGCTATGGCAACATTGTGCAAGTTAGAAATCAAGCTAGGATGTGTTTGGTTTGATGTAAAAGACCATAAACTCAATGATAGCTCTTGTGGCTGTAGGCATAAATGTGGATGAGCAGAAAATGGATTTGGTTTGAATATTCATCGACTGGAAATCAGTTAATTTTTGCTTGTTGGTCCTGCATACTTTCAATTATAATCTACTGATACAACATAATTGGCAGGCATATTTAACAATCAGTAGTGTAGTATCCTTAAATTTATATCGCACTTTTCAGAAGCTGGCTATGATATTACATGAGGTTAATACAAATTTCGTGATAGTTTATTCCTTTTGATCTTGGTTTTGAACATATTTTTGGCCCTCGATACTTCTGGAAGCAAACTTTTGACTCCCTCTAAATAAATTATTCGATGAAGAGGAAAGATGGAATTCATGAAAGATGGTTAAAGTGTTGGTACTTGATTTATTGAAACATGTGTTTCATGTGAATGTTTGAATAGTGCTTTAGGTGTTAATTGATGAATCTGAATAGTTCTGCTCTTTGGTTACGGATTCCTAAAGTTATATTGCAAGTTATTTGCCTTTTATTCCACTTGTCCTGAAGTCAAATTGTGCTGATTTTGATTCCATTTTGAAATGTAATTGGTGTTGCAACTTGCAGGCAACGCAAGGTGCTTAAAGTTGCTCAAAGAAAGCGACTGTGGCAAGCCAAAAGTCTGAAAATACAACTTCTAGCTCTTGTTGTCAGTAGTCTTATTGCTTCTAAAACTTTGTAGACATTTTTTTCTTAGTTTTCAATAAGATGAGTGTAAATAATAATACTAAGTAGTTTTTGGGCATTCTATTAAATTAGTTGGTCCAAATACAAATTGTATGTGTAACAGTGCAGAGGATTATGCCAAAATGTATATAGGCAGGTTATGCAAGTGATGCCTGTTCTCTGTTTGTAGTTTTTTTTTTTTTTACCTAGTTAATGAGAAATCATTGTCTAATTATCAAGAATGTTTTTGTGGAATGTTTGCTTTGGCTTGGAGACTGTCAGCAAAATATGTGTGAGAAGTATTCCGCAAAATTGTGGAGCGTGACATCTCCTGAAATGGGTTAAAATAGTGGAAGAAGAAGGTCCCTGCTTCTCTCATAAAAGCCTAATCGTTTCTTATTTTTTCCTTCTGATTCTGTTCCCTTTCTCTCACTATATTTTAGGACTATATGTGGAGCCTAGATTGTGAGCATGTGAGGGAAAGATTCTTAATTGTGATAGACCATTACATGGCAAGAAAGATTGGGACTAAGGAAGGTTTCCTCATATACTATGCTGATGATATGAACTCAAGGTAATCACTCTCTTATTATTCTAGGCATGGCCTGATTCTGGTTCTAATGGATCCGAAATGGGTTCAATTTTTAAGAAGATTGAACTTGAGCGGACTTAAACTGGACGGTTCCGCTCCGGTTCCGGTTCGGTACGGTTCGATCGGGTTCCGGTAGATATGTTTTTTTTTTTTTTTTTTAAAAATTAGTTCTAACGTTATATTTCTTTCGAAAAATATTAGATAGATTTGAAAAAATATGGTAAATTTTATTTATAGATTTTAGAAAGCCATATCATACAAGAATAAATAAATTTTTTACCAAATAATCAAATAAGCAGTACTTTATTTTGTTTAAAATGTTTAATTAATAAAGTTAATGAGAAAATTTTAAAAATCTCAAAATAATGAATTTTAAACTGTAAACGATTTAAAGGGTAAAAAGAAAGTTTAAAAAACAATATAATTTGAGAACTAAGGTTTTCTCTCTTTTTTTTAACCATTTTATTTTAGATTTTTAACTTTTAAAGATAAAGTTAAGTAAAGTATATCACGTAGTAAAATATTATTGAGACTTTTAGAGATGTATAAAATAGGCTAAGTGATTATTATTTTGAAAATAAAAATAGAAAATTTCGGTTCGAACCGGATCGGAACCGCATGGTTAACCGCTGGTTCAGGATCAGTTCAGATTCAAATTTTAATATTCACATGAACTTTAACCGGCCCTTGAACTGCCGGTTTCGGTTCAAAACTTTGAACCGACGGTTCCGGTTCATCTACAGTACGGTTCGGTTCCGGTTCAAAATGAACCTTTGGCCATTTCTATATTCTTCCATCTAATTTATTTATGCTATTTTTGTTAAGCTGTAATACAAACATTGCAATGAAATTCATGCAGTGTAATCACCATAACATTGCATCATGACTTTCCAAATCTAGCCTTAATGTCTATGGTTCTAATGGTTGGAAGGTTAAAACAGGTAGTTTGAAAGCAGTCTGTTTGACTGTTTTGAAAACAGCGGTTATGGTGAGAAATTATATAGTGGTATCTATAGAATTATGATTCTGTACAGTTTATTTCTTTTGGAATGGTTAGAATTAGAATGTTAATACAACTAGCTAGTCATTTGTATTTATAAGTAAATGTTTTCTGATTCTTATCAATGTTACTCATTTGTCCATAATTGAGAGAATGTGTCATTTGAAACTATATTTCTTGTCAAAATCTGATTGAATTTGGATATTTAGAATATGAAAATATATTATATCATGGCCCTTTAGTTTTCTCTTTACATTTGTGAAGCCTTATTTTGTGAAACAAACTTTGTTTGATTACTGACAGGCTGCAGGGGTTGAGTTTCCACCCCGAGCAGAGAACAGTGTACCTCTTTTTACTCCTCCACAAACACAGCCGATAGTTCATACACCTTCAGCGTATGAAGATGCTGCTATTGAGGCCTCTCTGCAGTCTGATGCTTCTGGTCTCAGGTACTCTTTGAACTGTATATTTCTCATTGCTGAGTTTTTGATCCAGCTTAAGCAAAGACAGATTGGTTTCCAAAATTGTTTCTTGCAAAAGTAATTTATGGAAACGTTTAATTTTGGAATTCTCTGCGGGGAGTAAGAATCTTCTAATAAACAAAAATAATGGGCTCTCATTCCTTTTGATAATAATTACTGTAGGATATGTTTTAAACTGATAAGTTCAAAATAAGATTAAGGTAATTTTTCTTTTCCATCCCTGCCCTCACCCTCGCCCCCAATAAGCATACATAGATACAAAACCAAAATTTAGGTTCACATTTTTGTCCATTTCAATTTAAGGATTTGATCTCTTTTATTTCAAAATATGTGTGAACTACTATTTTAGCTGGCACTGCAGTCCCAACTGGTTTATAGAACTTCAATTTTCTATCTCACTGATGTTTCCTGTTTTAAATGAGAATTCAGTAAGCCTGAACTCAATAGCAAGTAGGAACACATTTATGGTTCGACCCTGTATTGTTTTGGTCGGATTGAAGTATAGAAATATATGTAAGTGGTTGTGAACATGTGGAATCTTAACTTAAACTGCATACTTGAAGCTTCTTTTCCCTGATGTAATCTAAATCTGTTCATGTAATTCTGTGCCCCATAATGAAGGTTTCACTCTCTCATCATTTTAATGGGAGTATTCTGGCACTGTATACTTATAGTCGGTTGCTGTTAAGATGATTTTACAAAAAGAACTGTTTACTTTCAGCTTGCCAGAGATTCAAAATGCTCGGGGAGTGGCGGATGTATTAATGGAAATGCTTAGTGCCTTGGATCCTAAGAACCCTGAGGTAAAATGTGAATCTTACTCGTTTCATAAAGCTTGTCTTGGTTTGAGCCTGTTCTTTTCCTTGATAACTTATATCCTCATGTTTTTCATTTCAAAGTGCATATTTCTTTCTTTTTTATATTTGTTTTTTAAGTGTTGTCAGATGACATAGGATCTTTTAAGTGCAGCAACAGGGCAATGGCCTTGTTTATTTCAGTGGACAGCAGTGTAGTAGCAATTTTAGAGTCTTCACTTTCTTATGACTCTTCAATGACAACTTGGACTTGGAGACAGTGGCATAGCCAGCGATGGCCACGGGCCACCCCCTCCCTCCACCTCTGCTTTATTTTTTCTTCTTCTTCTTCATCTTCTTCTCTTCAATTCTATTCTCAAATACTGATATTTTTCCCCACTGGAACCCATAACTTTCAGCCTTGAAATTTTTTTCCCCTACTTTCTTCCTTGATTGAACCGGGCACATTTTTTGCGTTTTGTGCATAAGGCTGTGGGATGATACATTGCTCTGAGTGCGCCTTATGATTTTACTACTTTGATGGAAGTAAAAGTTAATAGTTTCTGCATATCTTATTTGACACTTTTGATTTTCCAGCTGTATCTCTTTTTTCTGGTTTTCTACATGTCTTAAGTGATTCTCTTTGTAATTCTGACGTAAATTCCTAAATATCTCAAACTTTATTTAGGTGATGGTTGGTTAAATTGAAATTAAATGTTGAAAATTTTAGAACTGATAATTTTATTGTGGACATGCAATTGGATCATGAAGTACTGAAACTTAAAAATAAAAACAGTTTAAATTTAATAATTTATGGATAGGTAATGTACTTGAATTTGAAAAATAGTTTGATAGTGGTTGGTTTAAAAGAGTTATGGTGATTGGATCAATTGTATATATGGTATTGATAATGGTGGTGATGGTGCTGGTTGTGATTAGTGATGATGGTGGAAGTTGTGACAGATGATGGTTCCAGTGACGATAATTTAGTGGCTGCAGTGCAGATGGAAGCAATTGCAGTGGAAATGAGGTGGCTGCAGAGGTATTAGCAATGATGATGGTGGTATTGATGGTGCTGTTGCTAAATAATAACCAGTGTGGTTACACTAACAATTGAGGAAAAGTTACTATTATCTTAGGACCTCAAGTGGATTACTTTTATGCAAAGTGATTTCTTTGCGTCAAGTGCTGAAAGTGAAAACTAAAACTAACCTAACAGACAGAATCAAAAGTTAAAAAAAAAATTAGGATAAATATGTAAAAAATTAAGTGCAAAAAATTTTTTTCACTGGCTTATTTTTGGTTCGCAAAGTACTCCCTTAGTTTGTCATGAAAGAATAGTTTTGGCTTCCTTGACATATTATTTGAAGCAAAGATGCTTGTAAGTCACTTTGCTGAGAGAGGCTTGAATATTTGCTAAAAGAGCAGAATTGGGTGTATTAGTTGCTGATTTTCCATGGAGTTTATTTGTTTTGTGCTCTTGGAAATTGCCTTAATTTAGAGGATTAGAGGACACTATGTTATGTCTGTTATTTTTGTGCAAGTTCATGGTCGACGCTGAATTTGTACACTTTCAAGCTTCTTATCATTGTTGAAGAAACATTTTTATGTTAATCGAGCCTTTGAATTCTTATGTTTGTACATGTGTATATATGATGGCAGGGTGTGAAAGAAGAAATTATTGTGGACCTTGTTGATCAGTGTCGCTCTTACCAAAAGCGTGTCATGCTTCTTGTAAATAATACAGTGTAAGAATTTGAATGGTATATTTTTGTCTTTCTAGAACTTTTGATGATACTAACAAAGATTGCTTTTCGTTCAGAGATGAGGATCTTCTCTGTCAGGGTTTGGCATTAAATGATAACTTGCAGCGTGTACTCCGTCGGCATGATGATATTGTGAAAGGTGCCGCAGAACCAGTGGTTGACCCTCCAGTGGTGCCACTACTTAATATCAACCATGAAGATGATGAGTCGGAAGATGATTTTGCCCAGCTGGCTCACAGGTGACTATACTTGATTTCTCTCTCTCTCTCTGGTCACTAGATTTCTGTTATTCTCATTTTTATGGTTGAAACAAGTGATGTGAAATTGGCTGAGGCATCTTGTCATGTAATTTTTCATCTTTATTTGGGGAAGTGTCTTGGGAGACCATAAGCATGAACCACATTATTGCATTTTCAAACTTTCGGTCTTTGAAAAGCTGTATGCAATTTCAAGGGAAAAAAAAAAAATGGAAGACGCATCCTAACAAGTTGGTGTAATCATAATACTGCAGGTCATCAAGAGAAAATTCACAAGGACAGGGCAAGAAACCAGTAAGTGTTAGGACTCAACCTGCAGGAGTTACCCCCTGGCTTCCTCCTCCTCCTGCATCAAAGAGGCCAGTAAGCACAGACTCCGGCATGATTGATTATCTCAGTGGTGATGCCTACAAGTCTCAAGGATCTCCACAGAGGCCGGAGCCCACACCCTTTACAGTTCCAGTCCATTCCAACACAAACTCCTCACCCCCATATTCTCCAACTTTATCAGCCTCACCTCCTCCTCCTCCTCCTCCTTCCAATGCTGTGAACTCATCACCTTTGTTCTCTGCACAGCCTGCATATGATGAACCCACTCCATTAAGCAAATCTGCCGATCGACTGCCTCCAGCTCCCTGGGATGCACCTGCTTCTGGGTCTCTTCCCCCTCCTCCTTCCAGATATAACCAGAGACAGCAATTCTTCGACCAACATGGTTTTGCTAGTGGTGCTTCTCATTCAAGTAGTGGCTCTAGCTCCTCTTATGATAGTTTAGTTGGTCAAACCCAGAATCTCTCACTTAATTCATCTACCACCCCCACCAAGCAATCGAAACCGGAAGATGCTCTCTTCAAAGATCTGGTTGATTTTGCCAAAGCCAAGTCGTCTTCACCGTCCAAATCCAATAGGTCATTTTAGTCGGTATAGTTGATCTGTGTTGGTACAGCTTTTGAATACTTCTAGATAATCAGGTTTTGCATCAGACCATGAGATTGATTACCAGTTAATAAATGTCGGTTTAAACAGTGAGTTATGGCTTTGTCTATGCTGTGTGGCAGAGGTTTTATGTTGAGATGGAATTGATTATTGGATTTATTCTAGTACATATATTATCTTAGAATGTGTTTGTATCATATGTTTACGCTACATTTTATTCTCAATTCTTTGTTTTGTTTTCTTTGCTATTATAATTCCCAGATCATCAAAGCAAATTAAACATCTTTATTGTCGAAACTCTTCTTATTTATGCTAAATTAATGGATTTTACTCAACAAATACACCAAGCTTAACAATTGGAGGCCGAATCTGGAGATTGGAATCGAAAGCATTATCATCGTCATCTTATATTTGTTGGTTTAGTCTTGCAATGGTAGCTTATTATACTTTATTATTGTACATTGTAAAATTCATCACAATGACTCTGTGGCCCAATGGATAAGGCGCTGGTCTACGGAACCAGAGATTCTGGGTTCGATCCCCAGCAGAGTCGATTTTTATTTTTCATTTTTCATTATATTGAATATTTTTATTCTAAACCACTATATAATCAAATCATTAACTAACAGCTACTAAACAGTTAAATTTGCCAAACAGATTCAAAATATCGTTTGACTTTTTTTATTTTTGTCCCAGAAAATATAAAATAAAAAATTAGCCTAAAACTCTTACCTTTTTGAATGCAAATATTATGACAAGATATAAGGTTGAACAAGTAGAGAAAATAACAAATAGCAAACTTTTTGTGAGCTTCTAGATGTGAATTATTGGTACGAAATCCTATTTACATATTGGTTTTCTTTACTCTTGTTTTATAAGAATTTAGAATTTAATAATTAGAACACTAATTTTCAAATTTTATAATATTTAATATGATTTATCAAAATTAAAATGTTACCTTTGCTTCTTAAAGTTGTTAATTAAAATTTATACAATTAAATATATTAACTGTTTTTGATGATTTTTCTTAGATAGTGAGTTTTATTTACTTATTTGAACAACTCAATTATTTTATATTAAATTTTAATATAAAAAAAACTTTAATTATACTATAAAATTTTAAGTTCAAATTCAAATTGTTTTTTCCCCGCACATTCTAGTTGTTAAAAGAATTTTTACTAAACTATTATATTATAAGATACATCAATATCTTTAAATGTGATATATAAGAAATTTTAATTAATTGACTGGTATTAATTACTTTGGGCTTATAATTAAAAATAAATACAATATATTAAATTTTTTTTTGGGCAGAATGTCACTGCATTAACCCCCCACGAGAAGAAATGGTTTACTTAGAAACATCTAATTGTTCCCTCTCCTAAGCATTAAAATTATATATACTTCATGTATGTGTTGTGGTTCAGTTGGCAATATAGGCTGTGTATGTGGGAAGAGCTATTGAGTTTGTTTTTCACTAAATGCATTTACAGGGAGGAGTGAGTAGCCTTAACTGTGACTAAACCCTAAGCCGGATTAAGCGGTCCTTAATAATGAGGTCCGGAGAGAAAATAATATAACATTTAATTAAATAAATGTTGGGCAAAGTAGAAGGGGCAAGATGGTTGAAAGGTGGTTAAACACTCCCATTGGATGATGTTCAAAGGTGGTCTCATCCTCTTAAGGTCTGAATACTATCCATGACTTGAGCGTGAAGACACATTTGATAAAAAAAAAAAAAAAAAGATTTACCACAATACAGAAATGATGTCTTGTTGTATAAATGGAAAAGGAAGATTAATGACTGGGTGTAGTTAGTAAGAAGTAGAAAATGAAAGGCACTCTTCAAAATTTTGTAAAGAAGACTAAAATCTTGCGTTCGATGTTTCCTCTTGCAAGTGATGCATAGCTGTACTAAATAACCCTTTTTATTTCTATTTTCAACTGCTCTTCTCTTCTCTTCTAACACTAATTATCTTCTTGTCCATTTCTCTAAAAGGAAAAAGAGAGATTTGAAACATGCTAAAGAAGGAAACTTCCTGCCTTCTTCATATGAAATTAATTGATTTAGTAATCCACCAATGGGTCATCCCATATTATAATATTGATAAAACACATGTTTTAGTGTTATTTCGACTCATTGATCTTTTCAATAAATAAAAAAAAAATAGTAACAATTTGTTTTTCCTTAATAATATTACAATTTAATTGTATTATAAATGAGTTACGATATTCGAGATTCAGCTAAAAAAATTTATTTGAACTCATTTTGATAAGTTGAATAAATCACTTTCGATATGATTTATTGAACTCATTTGGTAAATGAGCAAGCTCGTGAGCTTCACTATAAAACTAATAAATATGTAAATGAATTTCTTTTTCTTTTCAAACTAACAGTAAAAAAAGTCGAATTTAAATTCGTTAACAGTTCTAAACTTGGTTATTCTTAAAACAAATTGAACTCGGAATCCAAATTAAAGTATTTTTTTTTTTAAAGAAGAAAGCTGGAGCTCAATAGAATTTTACTCATTTACTGTAATCAATAAGATGGGGAAGAAACTCACTTATTAACCTTGTGAGATCTGATCCATGATTTTTTAAAATTATTAGTAATTGTTTGCATTGAAAGACAAATGTCTAATTGATGGAGTGGCCTTGGCTTATACGATATAACAAAAATAGCAATGCATATACTAAGAAATCATATACAAATTTGGTAATTTATATACCAATTTTATTAATAAATACTGTTAACTATACTACTTGACAAATTTTCCTTTTGAAGGGAGGCTATAGGCAAAATAACACTCCACGAATATCCGTAAAAAAGTAAATAATGATGATAAATTGGTAATTAAACATTTCAACTTATAAAATTGTATCTATTAAGTACGTCAATTTATAAAAATTATTTTATTAAACACTTCAACTTATAAAACTAGATCAATTAATAATTAATCAATAAAGATACTATGTTGTGCTTATGTAAGCAAGCACACGGTCAATTTTCATATTAATCATCTAACGGAAATCTATTCAAGTAAATTCAAAGGAGACAATATATACGAGTTATATATGTACTCTAATTTGATTTATTAACCTCCCTTAATCCTAATTTATATATATTATTTTCGCATCATAATTACAATTATTTTACAGTAATAAGTTTAACTTAAATGAGAATATTACTCTAATTTGATTTATTAACCTCCCTTAATCCTAATTTATATAATATTAATTTCGGCATCATAATTACAATTATTTTACAGTAATAAGTTAAACTAATGAGAATATATATATATATATATATATATTATATATAATAATGCCATAATCCACAAATGGTTGGATACTTCGTGCACAGGATCATCCATAATACAAATATAAGTATATAAATAATGCACATAATCCACAAATGTTGGATACTTCGTGCACAGGATCATCCATATACAAATATAAGTAATACACAGATTCGTTTCATAAGATAAGATATAAAAATAATTTGGGAGAAAATAACAATGTATAAAATATTAAGGCATGCACGACATTTCCTTCTTGGAACATTTCATCCTCTATTATTTTGTGTAATTAAAAAGAGGATGAAATTATAAAAACATGCATGCATTGGCTAGCTGATTAAAGCAGCTGGCTGCTGTTGCCTGTCAGTGTTGCTAGGAAGGTAATGAACGACCAGTCGTCCAAGGCGTTTCAACTTTTGATAAAGAAGAATAAAGATTTTGCGCTTGATGGTTCCTCTAACTGGTGGCACGACAATCTTCCTGTCGTTCTTGCACGCAATTTCCAGTATGGAACTTCTAGACAGAGACTGTAACGCCATAACCTCAATAATCATCTTCTTGTTATCCATTTTTTCTTCTTCTTTTTTTTTCTTTTTAAAGGTTCTGAGTCATTGAGACCTCTTTTTATAGGCAATATATGGATAAGGAAATTTCCTGCCACCTTCATATAAGAATTTATGTATAGGAGTAATAGATCGTACACTCACTATCTCACTCTGAGAGAAGGAAAATGTAATTTCATTTTGTGATAAACAAAACTTTAATTAATGAAAAAGAATTTTGATAACAATTTCATATCTTTTCTTTTGGAAGTATATTATAAGGTGATGGAATACTGTTAGATTATATGAGAGAATTCTATCTCGTTTAGTTGCTTGTGTTTGGTGTTTTAAAGTAAATATAAATTTATAATGTAGAAACAATGAAGTTTTCTGTTCACTTATCTTTTTGTATCTTCACTTCCATTGGGACAAGAAATCAAAAAAAAAAAAAATGATTTATCAAAATTATAATATTTGTCAAATGAGATAATTGTAATTTTGGTGTTTGAATTTTTTTAAATCTTCTATCTTCATTTTTTTTTCAAGTCGTGTGTCTAAACAATAAAAATTTTTACAATCAAATATTTATTAAAGACGTGGCTTGCTGTAAATGGTGCCACATAGATGACTCTGATTTCCATCTTACTCGATCATAACCCATTTTTTGTCGAGCTTTATTGAGGCAAAACGCGAAATTGATCTAGTGTGTAAGCGAAGAAAGAAACATAGTGAAACTGAAAATTGAACCAAATCGACTCGGTATATCAGTTTCGGCTTTAGCTTCTAATATATAATTTCAATGTTAGTTTTTGGATCTTTTAGTAAAATAAAAAATTTCTGTCTAAAACTAAATTGTTATGACCAATAAATTCATCCTAATGTGATTCAATTTTCATAAAAATTAACGTTTCGTTTACAATTTTAACAATTCATTTCTATTTGAAATCAAATTGCCCATTTGCACACTCCTAGAGTAGAGAGAGAAGTAATTTCGAGACTAATATGTGAGGTGAGAGTGAAATAGAAAGAGGAAAATTTTCAAACTATGGGAACAAAGAGAAAGCTTGAAGCTCTTGATTAGGTAATGGTTTAGGGTTAAGGTTTCTTGTTGAGAGCTCCGGAATTGAAGAAAGATATGTTGAGATTTTTGATTCATTTTTATACGTCTCTTTAAATTTCTCATATTTGAGGCTTCTATATGTGAAACTGTTAGATTTGTGATTCTGATTTGTTTTGATATAGGTCTTCAATCCAAATAAGATTTTGTTATTTGATTTTTTTTTTTTATGAGGTTGCTAACGACTCTTATTATATAGATCTGTGATGTTTGCGTGTACAGAGAAAAATAAAGGAAAT